GTTTTATATTTATTATTTAAAGAAAATGAGGGTAGTTTACCTCGTGGAACATCGATAGATAGATTTTTAAAAAACAATACCACAGTTACGATGGCAGTTTTCATCTTCGAGGTATAAACAAAAAACTACCCCTAATTTGTAACCCTTATAACCATTTTCAAAAATTTTTACTTCAAATATAAAACAAACACAGTACCAAATTTCGCCGTAATCGACAAATAACGCCCGGGATAGAATTAATTTTTAAGGGGGTGGATAACCCCAACAACCCCTATATGGTGTATTATGCCTTATTTTACACTAAACATTTTATTGTGCGACTAATTTACGGTTTTGTTTAAAGTATTTTCAAAATACCTGACAATTTTATCACATCATTCTTACGAAAAGTGCTTACATGTTAACCCCCGTAACTTCGCTGGGGTTGATCTAGGGCGAATGGGAAAAAACCCTTAACTAATATTTTTGAACGCACTAGAAGTATACTTAATGCCGCCAAAATCGATAGGGTGGTTTTTAAATAATTCCAAAAAAATAGGGGTAGTTCGCCCTTTTTAACCCTCTGCTATATGTGTGACACATCAAAAGAAAGCTCTTTTAAAATGAATATCAGTTACAATTTACCAAATTTTGATAGCACTTTTCGTTTTCAAAATATAAGTGAAAACGTACTTTTTCTCCAAACTTTCAACCCCTATAACTCGCCCCAGGGGCTTTTACCGCACGTATAAAAAAATGTGCGAACCTTATTTTGGCCCATTCTATGACTGTACCAAATTGCATCGAAATCGGTGAGACACAGTTGTGACACTTCCCTTGTTAGTTTAATTCACACCGGCCGTAAAAGAGTTCGTACTTATATTATTCACTCGACATATTGCGCACTGTGCAATATACTTTAAAAATGAAACTGGCCTGTCACTTATTTTTGTTTTCGCACATGTAGTGTAAACCTTTACTGGCGTGCAAATAGAACTGGCGCCACTAAACCCATGCAGCCTACAGAAGTAGGAACTAATTAAACAGATATAATGACGTAAGAGAGCATGGTAATATAATATGGTACTGTAACTTGTGATCTTAGTATTTTTAGTACTGTCAATCCTTTTTCGGTAGATACAACCAATAAGTATTGTTAGTTCTTCAGGTGTTGTAAATTCACCTGAATACTCCCATTTTTTTTGTTATTGACTCTTATTCTGTTCCTGCCTTTTTTATTAATTTCCTAATAAGTTAATTGAAATGAGTTATTAATAAATAATAAAACATACATACCTAACATCCACATATAAACAGAAATAAATTTCACATCACATACCCCGCAAATATTCACAACAAGGAGATATTAAGTCTAGTTAACGTGGTAAAATATACTTTATGAACTTACATAATTAAAGCGGATATAGCTCTTTTCAATGCCTGTAACCACATTTTACCATCAACCAATAGATTTTCATCAACGTCCATAAATTGTTTCCCTGCAGCTTCAAACATAATAGCATATAAACAACCCGTAGTTCCCCCGGTTGCTGTTTCAAAAATTGAACCAATCTTGAGTAAAAACACAAACGGACAATTTAAATTTGGTGACGGCAATTGACCGTTAATAGCCACAGCGGCTTGTTTTATTCTTGTACCTGCGTCTCCATCCCCAAATTCCGAATCGATAATATTGATTTGTTTCTCGCAAGAAATTAATGCGTCACAAGCAAATTGAATGACTAAAAGAAACGTATTTGCTTGTCTTTTTCCTAAACGTGGACCACGGAGTTCGAAATTATTTGAAGGTTTATTTTTGCTTTCTAACATATTGATATCTGGGGTGTTGTCTAAGATTAACGGTTGGACCCAAGCAGCGCAATCTACTTTTTCGTCCAACATAGGAAGGATGGTGGTGGGATCTTTTAATTGTATTATTGTTATAATAAATCCATGCATATCAATTGAGGTTATGAATTTTCCTATGATAACTCGAATGACTGGGACGTTTAACGTTCTTAAGTAACTTAAAATTTCTTTTGTAAAAATGTTTACTTCTAGTTTTGAAGCTGACCCTAAATTATTTACTAATACAATTACAGGGGTTGTCGCGTCAATCATTAATTTGTGCTCATTGTTTTCATTTGTCATTTCATTGAAGATGATTTTACAAATATTTTCTGCTGATGTTAGTGGCATTTGAATATTTCCCGTTTCGCCGTGTAAACCAGCAGCAATTTCTAAACTGATTTTTGGTAAACTATATTCGCATGTGTAACAACTACCTAGTTCAATATTTTTGCACTGTTTTATAGAAACAGAAATAGAAAATATATTTTTTTGAAAATCATCGCAAAAATCATAGATTTCTTCTACAGTTTTTCCTAATTTTGCTAATTCCCCAGCGATTTTTTGTACAATAAAAACTCCGGTAAGGCCCCGTTTTTCTCTAGGTTTAGGCATCATACTACAATCATCAGTAACAACTAATAATCGTGCTTTTATACCCATACTTTGCGCTCTTTCAATGGCTAATCCAAAATTTAATCGATCTCCACAGTTATTAGCAATTATAGCTAAAACGCCTAAACATCTTTCGGTGGATAATTCAAGTATTGTACGAAGTATGTTTAAGCTGGATGGTGCTATGTATATATCACCTTGTATGGCTGCCGTTAGCATTCCTTTACCAACAAATCCAGCGTAACAGGGTTCGTGACCCGAGGCTCCTCCAGCAATTAATTTTACTTCATCCATTTCTTCGTAATCTTTACGAACAACCACATTTGCAAAATCGAATAAAGCCAATTGGGGGTTACAAGAAACCAAACCTAGCAGACTTTCAATGGGTACCGTTGGAACATTATTGATAAAGTGTTGGTTTCGTAATAAAACATCACCAGCCATTGCCATTATTATAACTTTTTAAGATACAAGATAATTAAAACGTAGGAATAGGAAAAATTGGGGTTACGATTTGAAATCTTTGAGGTTATCTTCTGAAATCATACTCTTTCTATACGTTATTGCTTAAATTTAGAATGAAAATTATATTTATAATAAATTCTTATAATAAAATTGGTAGACTTACAAGGATTAGCACAAATATTAATTTAAAATGTTCCATTAAATTAAATAAATATCATTTAAAACATCATACAAGAAATGTCAAATTGTCAAACATAGTTTCTTTTAATTTTATTTCTTATTATATGATATCTTCCCTCTTCAGCTCAATCGAACTGCCCCACTTTTGCGTCCAAACTCGGAAATAATACTAAAGTTTAAAATTTGAAATTTTGAAGTGATGTTGCAAGTAATTTACTCTTATACGATTAACATACCTTATTATAACTTAATTTAGTAAATTGGGTGTATTGTAGTGGTGGAACGGATATTAAAAACCTATTTTTTTATATCAAGTTTGTCTTCAGCAACCTCATTGTAACAATCCCAATTCGATACATAAAATCTCTTGTTGAAGTTTCGTCTAGTTTCCTTCTCTTCGTATGTAACTCATCATCACATTCATTACTAACAGAACTGTCGCTGTTATCACTTTCGATTATTAATTAAAGTATCCTCTTTTTAATGCAAAAAGCCGTTTTGAAAAATCACTTTTAGTTCTTGAAAAATAATTTTTGAAGTGATCGACAATTTTTTCGAATTTAGCAGTTTTCGCCGATTAACTTTTAAAAATTTATATAAAATCCAGTTCTGGAAATATGAGTATGAAAATTTCCCAAAGTGTTAATAAAAGTGTCCTCTTTCCAATGAACCAACCCGTTTTGAAAAATAATTTTTAGTTTTTGAGAAAACAATATTTGAAGTTTTGATAAAATTTTCGATGTTGCAATTTTCATCGATAATTTTCAAAATTCGCTATAAAATTAATTTCTTGAAGGATCCTTGTGGAAATATCACCAATTATTAATTAAAGTATCCTCTTTTTAATGCAAAAAGCCGTTTTGAAAAATCACTTTTAGTTCTTGAGAAATAAATTTTTGAAATGATCGACAATTTTTTCGAATTTTGCAATTTTCGCCGATTAAGTTTTAAAAATTCGTATAAAATCCATTTCTTGGAATATGAGTATGAAAATTTCCCAAAGTGTTAATAAAAGTGTCCTCTTTCCAATGAACCAACCCGTTTTGAAAAATAACTTTTAGTTTTTGAGAAAACAATATTTGAAGTTTTGATAAAATTTTCGATGTTGCAATTTTCATCGATAATTTTCAAAATTCGCTATAAAATTAATTTCTTGAAGGATCCTTGTGGAAATATCACCAATTATTAATTAAAGTATCCTCTTTTTAATGCAAAAAGCCGTTTTGAAAAATCACTTTTAGTTCTTGAGAAATAAATTTTTGAAATGATCGACAATTTTTTCGAATTTTGCAATTTTCGCCGATTAAGTTTTAAAAATTCGTATAAAATCCATTTCTTGGAATATGAGTATGAAAATTTCCCAAAGTGTTAATAAAAGTGTCCTCTTTCCAATGAACCAACCCGTTTTGAAAAATAACTTTTAGTTTTTGAGAAAACAATATTTGAAGTTTTGATAAAATTTTCGATGTTGCAATTTTCATCGATAATTTTCAAAATTCGCTATAAAATTAATTTCTTGAAGGATCCTTGTGGAAATATCACCAATTATTAATTAAAGTATCCTCTTTTTAATGCAAAAAGCCGTTTTGAAAAATCACTTTTAGTTCTTGAGAAATAAATTTTTGAAATGATCGACAATTTTTTCGAATTTTGCAATTTTCGCCGATTAAGTTTTAAAAATTCGTATAAAATCCATTTCTTGGAATATGAGTATGAAAATTTCCCAAAGTGTTAATAAAAGTGTCCTCTTTCCAATGAACCAACCCGTTTTGAAAAATAACTTTTAGTTTTTGAGAAAACAATATTTGAAGTTTTGATAAAATTTTCGATGTTGCAATTTTCATCGATAATTTTCAAAATTCGCTATAAAATTAATTTCTTGAAGGATCCTTGTGGTAATATCACCAATTATTAATTAAAGTATCCTCTTTTTAATGCAAAAAGCCGTTTTGAAAAATCACTTTTAGTTCTTGAGAAATAAATTTTTGAAATAATCGACAATTTTTTCGAATTTTACAATTTTCGCCGATTAAGTTTTAAAAATTCGTATAAAATCCATTTCTTGTAATATGAGCATGAAAATTATCCAAAGTGTTAATAAAAGTATCCTCTTTCCAATGAAGCAACCCGTTTTGAAAAATAACTTTTAGTTTTTGAGAATACAATATTTGAAGTTTTGATAAAATTTTCGATGTAGCAATTTTCAAAATTCGCTATAAAATTCATTTCTTGAAGGATCCTTGTGGGAATATCGCCAATTATTAATTAAAGTATCCTCTTGTGTTGCTTCGTTAGTTAAATCATCATCAAAAAAGTTCATTTTGTATCTTGGATCCAATAAGTTGACATATCTTATCAGCTTTCGTATTAATTTCATTTTTATTCAAATATCGCAATAATGGGGTAATGTAGGGTATCACTTCAGAAATGTACCAGAAATTATAACCATAATAGCCGAATATCCGGTATCCGGCTTTTCGCAAAATCACTATCCGTTCCATCACTAGTGTATTGTTACTAACTCATTATCAGTTGAAAGTGAGCTTATTTTGAGAACAGTTAAGTATTAGAATAAAATGTCACGACTTTGCATTCATATAATATTGGCCCCACTTATTATTTTTTTAATTCCAAAAATGGAAATTACTTCTCGAGATATGTAGTTTTAAAATACATGATGATTATTTAATTTATATAATAAAAAAAAGAGTTACTTTCACACAAAATCGCGTAGAACATCAAACAAAAACGTCAAAAGTTTGTTAGAATATTTGTTATAGTACCTGATTAAACCCGATGTCTGAATTGCAACAGTTATACACTTTATACATTTATTTAAATAATTATGAAAAAAAAATTATAGCAACGTAATAACAACAAGCAAATAAAACATTTCTGAAGTGATACCCTATATTGCCACATTATTGTGATATTTGAATAAAAATGAAATTAATAAGAAAGCTGATAAGATATGTCAACTTATTTGGATCCAAGATACAAAATGAACATTTTTGATGCTGATTTATCTAACGAAGCAACTCTAAAAAGAGGATACTTTAATAAATAATTGGCGATATTTCCACAAGGATCCTTCAAGAACTAAATTTTATAGCGAATTTAGAAAGCTATCGATCAAAATTGGAGCATCAAAAAATTTATCAAATCTTCAAATATTGTTTTCTCAAAAACTAAAAGTTATTGTTCAAAACGGGTTGATTTATTGGAAAGAGGACACTTTTATTAACATTTTGGGAAATTTTCATACTCATATTCCAAGATATCGATTTTATACGAATTATTAAAATTTAATCGGTCAAAATTACAAAATTGGAAAAAATTGTCGATTATTTCAAAAAATTATTTCTCAAGAACTGAAAGTGATTTTTTAAAACGGGTTTTTGCATTAAAAAGAGGATACTTTAATTAATAATTGGTGATATTTCCACAAGAATCCTTCAATAAATTAATTTTATAGCGAATTTTGAAAGTTATCGATGAAAATTGCAACATCGAAAATTTTATCTAAACTTCAAATATTGTTTCCTCAAAAACTAAAAAGTATTTTTCAAAATGGGTTGGTTCATTGGAAAGAGGACACTTTTATTAACATTTCGGGAAATTTTCATACTCATATTCCAAGAAATCGATTTTATATGAATTTTTAAAACTTAATCGGCGAAAATTGCAAAATTCAAAAAAATTGTCGGTCATTTCAAAAATTTATTTCTCAAAAACTGAAAGCGATTTTTCAAAACGGCTTGTTGCATTAAAAAGAGGATACTTTAATTAATAATTGGTGATATTTCCACAAGAATCCTTCAATAAATTAATTTTATAGCGAATTTTGAAAGTTATCGTTGAAAATTGCAACATCGAAAATTTAATCAAAACTTCAAATATTGTTTTCTCAAAAACTACAAAGTATTTTTAAAATGGGTTGGTTCATTGGAAAGAGGACACTTTTATTAACATTTCGGGAAATTTTCATACTCATATTCCAAGAAGTCAATTTTATACGAATTTTTAAATCTTAATCGGCGAAAATTGCAAAAATTCGAAAAAATTGTCGATCACTTTAAAAATTTATTTCTCAAAAACTAAACCCGATTTTTCAAAACGGCTTGTTGCATTAATAAGAAGATACTTTAATTAATAGTTGGTGGTATTTTTACAAGGATCCTTCAAGAAATTAATTTTATAGCGAATTTTGAAAGTTATCGATGAAAATTGCAACATCGAAAATGTAATCAAAACTTCAAATATTGCTTTCTCAAAAACTACAAAGTATTTTTCAAAATGGGTTGGTTCATTGGAAAGAGGACACTTTTATTAACATTTCGGGAAATTTTCATACTGATATTCCAAGAAATCAATTTTATACGAATTTTTAAATCTTAATCGGCGAAAATTGTCGATTATTTCAAATATTTATTTCTCAAGAACTAAAAGCGATTTTTAAAACGGCCTTTTGCATTAAAAAGAGGATACTATAATTAATAATTGGTGATATATCCACAAGGATCTTTTAAGATATTAATTTTATAGCGAATTTTGAAAATTATCGAAGAGAATTGCAATATCGAAAATTTTTTCAAAACTTCAAATATTGTTTTCTCAAAAACTAAAAGTTATTCTTCAAAACGTGTTTGTCCATTGGAAAGAGGACACTTTTATTAACATTTCGGGAAATGTTCATACTCATATTCCAAGAAATCTTCAATGTTTTTTTATTTATTTATATATTGTATTTTATAGTGTAATTTCATTTTTTAAAATGTTTTTATATGTCTGTTCTTTGTGATGTTAATTTTATTTTATTGACCATTCCGCTGAAGATGACTAAGTAAAACTAGTCGAAACCGGTTCCGTTAAAATAAATTGAATTTTGCAAGATAAGAAATTATATTTATTTGTTTATTATTTTAATATTTAAACGAAACTTGCAACATGGATATCGAACAGTTATAATCATCCTTTATATTCCACATGAGACACTTCTGTTCGGGACCTACACCAATGATCCATTTGTATATATGTGTTGAAAATCTGGCCATTTCTCTTTGATGTAACCTATTTCCCTTCCTATTACGTTACCAACTTCAACAACCGATTTAAGATCTTTGTAAGATCCAGGAGTAAATGCTAGTAAAAATAAAGTAAACATTTTCTTTAAATTAATTTATTACTCACAATTTTAATTATAAATGTATATACCTTTGTATCTTTTTATATACAACATAAATACAAAATTAAATAATATTTAAAATAAAAAAATTTTTATACAAAAATAGAAATAAAATTAAGATAATTCAAAACCCGCTTGTTGTTCAATAGCTTGTAACAATTTTTTTTTAAGTATCGCTTCATCTTTAATTAACGGGATTTTTAGGAGATTTAAACATGTACTAGCGGTCGGCATACGATCTTCAGACCCAGAAGATTGAATGCAAAAACTTGGAGTTAATTCTTTAAATCCTAACAATGGAGGTCGAGAACAACTCGTCACAAACTTTAATAGTTGTTTCTTTTGCGTCTCAGTAAACCGATCGACGATTTTCCAAAACATGATTATTGTTGGATGCTCAGATGTAAAATCACCTACGAATAAAATTAATTATAATCATAAATTCCTTTTTAAAAAATTTACCTCCATATGCAGTATTATTCTTTAAATCTTCGACATCAATCTCTTGATTATCACCACTTATAATCACTTGGAGCTCATAATAATTAAATAAACGTAACCATAAAATGGGAACCACGCTGTCTAAGCCTTCACGAAAAGCGGCGCATTGTTGCGAAATTTGAGTGTTTAATTTTAAATCCGCTAATTTGTGGATGTACTCTAATCGATTATCATTTGTGACAGCTATATTTCTTCCCCCTGGTTTTAATTCTACTACCTTTATGACAAAAAAAAATATAAGAAATAAATTAAATTAAGATATTAACATTAATTTACTCTAGTTTCTCCTAAGTCATTATTTACTAAAGTAAAATCCAATCCTAAATCTTGAACATCTCCTGTATAATCTCTTAAATAAAGCAAGTTACGGTAAAGAATTGGGTCTAAAGATTGTAAGAAATGGGCGCTTGCTTTATCGACTAAGAGTTTAGCTAGGAAAAACTCTGCTAAAGGTAAATCAACGAGAATATTTTCGAAGACTGCCTGAAAATGAATGCGTTTTAAATTGGTGAAATCATAAAAAATTTTATTAATTTGTTACTTTTCCAACTAGACGACCAATAAAATAGTAATGATCCCTATAATTTTCTATTAAAAGGTGAACGTTTGGATTGGGGTACAAAGTATTATCAGCGGTTAAAAGAAAGAATCCTCTGTTTGGGTCGAATGCTGTTTTTAATACTTCGTTTATGAATTCTTTAAAGATACCACCACCATCAATTCCTGCTTCCTCTAAACCGACGTTATTAATAAATTGGATTCGTAAACGTTGTTTCATTACAGAATCTAAAAATAAATTAAAGCATAATTTATGATTAATTGAAAATGTAAAAAAATGGTTCAAATATCAAATTAGATAGTATAATATATGAATTTGTGTAATTTCTTTAGATCATTTCCGCTTGCTAAGTTATGTATCTAAAACAATGGCACCCTGCCCAAGTAAAGAAGTTTCAATATTAGTTGGATTTCATGAAAAAGTAGCTTTATATGTGCCAAAAAGGAATAAACCTGTAATATTACTTTCGACTATCCACACAGATATAACAGTATGCGATGATGCTAAAAAATTTATAATAGTATATTAAAAAACTACTTTCGTAAAACACGCTTGAAATGCACGAATTCAAGTTTAAAAACGAGTCTTTAAATGTGCTTTTAAAGTGCTTTAAATCTTATGAAACGTGTTTTTATGCTATTTTTTTAATTCGCGTTTTTATCCTTTTTTTTCACAAAAATAAAATAAATTTTGACAATGTAGGGAAATAGGTATGTAGCAGTTGGTAACACCGTAACACTTTAAAATAAAAAATTGAATTGACAATTAGAAATTGTCAAAACACAAAATGTATTCACCTGAAAAAAATGTTTCATGTACATCTCCCGAAATAAGAGAAATTGCTCAGTTCTATTAAAACACTACTTCTAGAGAAGTCTCACGAAAGGTACAAACAACAGTACGCTAAATTTAAGGCCTGGTTCAAATTGTCACATTGACAACTAGAAAAATTAATGACTCAATATCATCAACTTGAACTGGTTCCATAAAATGTTACTAAAATCTCATTATAGCATCGGAATAGCTTTCATATTTACCGCCGCGATTTACAATTTAAAATTATTTTATATTGGAATAAATACAAAGCTGGAGTGCAGGCAGTGTTGTTATGTACCTCATTTATTATGAAGATAATAAAATGACACATAATTGTACATAGTTGTGATTCAGTGAGTTCAGATTTATATTGCCGGTAATACCGTCAATAAAATCTGAGAAATGCCCACTGTTTCTTTCCTGACAAATAAGTCAGGGGTTTGAGGAATCAAACTCAGCTCTGTCCTACTTTCACGTCCTTGAAGACAGTTTTTCTCGTGAACTCCATGTGCATTGCGTACAAAGGATGTGCGTTATGCAGCAGATGTGAGACGGTAAAAGGTAAGATTTGGGCGTATCAGCTAAGGAAAAATTCTGGCCCGTCAGGTTGATTTTACTCTGAAAGTGGTAGCTAAAAAGATGCATAAAAGCTGTGATGTTAATGATGTCAAAGATGAACTATTGGAGCGCAATTGTAACATTTGTAAAGTAACCCAGATGTTAAAATACAAAACAAAAGAGCCTCTTCCTTTATACATCTTGGATTTTGCACCGTCAGAAGATGTAAAAAGAATCCATGAAATAACAAACATATTAGGAATGCATGTCAAAATCGAAGAGTACAGAAAGCTAAAACGAATGCTCCAGTGCAAAAGGTATCAAGGTTGGAGCCACACCAAAGCTTACTGCCACAAAAAAAAATTCGAGATGTGTTAAATGCGCTGGTGAACACTGGACCAGCGAATGCACTAAAACCAAAGAAATGCCGGCTAAATGTTTCAACTGTGGAGAAAATCATCCAGCGAACTACAAGGGATGCATTGCGATTAAGGAACTACAAGCCATCAGTAATAAGAAAATAGTAAATTCAAATAAAAGAAAGCCTGGCGTCTCGTATGCCGAAAAAGCGAGTGGTGAAACTGTAGAGAAAACTGTAAGTTAATCGATTACTTAATCGATAAAAAGACTGGCAGTAAATTAGATCTAATACTAGAAAAAATATTTCAACAGGAAGGAACAATAAAAACATTATATGAACGTCTAAAAATAATGCTGTGGAATTCCAATGGTCTTCGACAGCATCAAAATACACTACCAATAATACTTAAAGAAAACAATTTTGATATGTCTTATCTCCGGAACTCATTTTAAACGAGAATCGTATATAAACAATATTTGAGCCGTTTATTTTGAAAGTGGCCCAAGTCCATTTTTATCTTTTTTCAAGTTAACTGTGGTGACATTTATAATTTATATTGAACAGTCAAAAAAATAAATCGACATTGAAATATATTTAATACATTTGAAAATTTTGTAACACGTTCATTTTCATAATAATATAAATATTGAAAATCATAATTTTGAAAGTGACCTAAGTCCACTTTTTATTGATAATGTCAAAAAGTGCGGCCCAAAATCTTGAAAGCAATGATGAAGGTAATTTAAATTATATTATAATATTGAATTAAATTTAAAAGAATAATATTCAATTAAAGAAATTATTAAACCTATGGGAAAGGATAAAATCACAAGAGTCCTTGATTCTGAAAGTGAAGAAGAATTAAAATCATACAACAAATATAGAAAAAGAAAGAGAATTTTAGAACTTCATTCTTCAACAGAGGAAGAGGAACTAATTGAGAATGAAAATTTACAAAACAACAGCTTCAGAGAAGGATTCAGAGCAAACAGAAGTGATACTTATATTCAGAAACTTCGCAAAATTAAACGAAATTCGGGGAAAAGATACGATACACAAGCGGGAAAAATTATACCTGCCAAAGTTTTTCAAAATAAAGATTGCCAATGTCAAAAAGACTGCTTCAAAAATTTAAATGAAACAGAAAGAAAACGTATTTTTGAAATGTTTTGGAACTTAGGAGACTTTAATAAGCAAAATATATTGCTATACGAAGCGACCGAACGCTGTACTGTAAAAAGAAGACGTCGGAGAAACGGAAAAGGTTCATATAGAAATGAGAGTTTTACGTACTGGTTAAATTCTAAAACGGGCAAAGTTTCTGTTTGTAAAAAATTCTTTTTACACACTTTTCAAATAAGCGAAGGACGATTGAAACGTGTGTTAAAATCTAAAAATATAGGCAACGATTTACGTGGGCGTTTGCCTGGATCGTCGAGAAAAAGATGCGATGAAGCAAATATGGTTGTTCAAAACCATATTAACAGTTTCCCGAAATTTGAATCCCATTATATGAGGGATCATAATCCCAATAGAAAATATCTGCATCCTGAACTGACTATAAAAAAATGTTTGATTTGTACGAGTTTCACTGTAAAGAAAATAATTTAAAAGCAGTTAATGAATGGACTTATAGAAAAATATTCAAGAGATTTTAATTTACACTTCCACCAACCACGCAAAGACACATGCCAAAAATGTGATCTATTAAACATTAAAGTTAAAGCATCAGAAAACCATGAAGAAGAGAAAAAACTTATGGAAGAACATGATATTCATTTAAAACCAGCAGAATCAGCTAGAAATGCGTTAAAACAAGATCAAGAACTAGTATCAAGTAATCCATCTCATTATTTTGGCTTTTCTTTGGATTTGCAGAAAGCGTTGCCATTCCCAAAGCTAATTACTTCAGTAGCTTATTATAAATGCAACATGTATATTTTAAATTTAGGCATACACAATTTCCACAACGATAATGTATACATGTATATGATGAAACAAAAGCTTTTAGAGGTTCCCAAGAAGTGGCTTCATGCCTCTTCAGACACTTTAAAACTCTAAACAGTGAAAAACATATCATTGCATATAGTGACATGTGTGGAGGATAAAATAGAAACATTAAAATATCTTTAACGTGGTTAAAAATTGTTCAATCGATGGAAAATTATGTGGAAATCATAGACCACAAATTTTTAATATCAGGTCATTCATTTTTACCTAATGACAGAGATTTTGGCGTTATCGAAATGTCGTTAAAAAGAAATCATTTACTGTATGTGCCACAAGATTATTATAATATAATAATAAAATGTAGAAAAGGTAATACTTTCATACTAAATTTAATGAAACAAGAGGATTTTATATCAACAAGACTCTTAGAAGAAGCAGTTTACAGAAGATCTAAAAATACCAACGGGGAAAAAATAAACTGGCTGCAAATATGCTAGATGCGATTTTTAAGAAATGAACCACATAAAATTTTATATAAAACAACCATGGATGAGCATTCAGAGTTTAAAATTCTTGATTTATTGCCACGTCAGGGTAGACCTAAAAAATTTGGAAATGTTGTATTGCCATCATTATACAAAAGTATAAGAAGCATCACATCACTAAAATACCGACACATGATGGACTTACTGCGATATATACCTCTGGAACACCATAACTACTTTAAATCCCTTCCGCATACTGCGAATGTTAACGAATAACTTGTTATTAAATTTAATCTTTTTCTTCTAAAAATATAAAGTATATAAAATGGTTTTTTAATTTTTTAAGCTATATGTAACAGACTTAAGCTGTTTCACATTTAATATCAAAACAAATTTTTATTTTGAAAGTGACCTAAGTCCTTTCAAGGTAAGCAAAGACATATTATACACTTAATAATAGCAATTTTTTAATAGGAATTATAAAATTAACTCCCGTAAATACGATTTAGCATTGCGAGTCAACCACATACCCTACATATATTTTTAATTTTGTAAAAACGTAAAACCTTAAATATGTCAAATTCAAGATAAATGGACTTAGGCTACTTTCAAAATAAACGGCTCATTTATCACACAATTCACCCTAGTAAATCGGATCGAGGTAGATGTGCAATTATTTATTTATTTATTTCTTTATTAGCACCACAACATGTAAAGAATTCAATAGCACAAAAATAATAACAGAACAATACAATTAGTACTGAACAACATCAAACTACAGTGGTAAAAATTCAAACTGCTAATGGCTTAATATCTGTAGCAGCAACGTACATACCACCGAGACATAATCTCAAAAGAGAAGATTATCAGAATATTCTACTACATCTTGACAACAAATTTATACTTGGAGAAGACTTTAATGCAAAACATATATCTTGGGGTTCTCGGTTGACAAATACAAAAGGAAGAGAACTGGACCATGCAATAGAGGCCCTAAATTGTGAGGTGCTCTCCACTGGTAAGCCAACTTACTGGCCAACAGATAGAAGTAAAATTCCCGACCTGCTTGATTTTTTTATTACAAAAAATATATCGCTTAACTTCGTAAACATAGAAGAGTTAGGGGTGGACTCACCAGTAATTATTACTCTAAATAACAAAGTATGTAACTAATAAATTCACTAATTGGAATCTCAACAAACATTAGATAATAAAATTCATCTTAATGCTCTTATGAAAACAAACCAAGACATTGGCAAGGAAGTAGAAAAATTCTTAAAACACATACAAAATGCAACCTGGGCTTCAATACCTATTTTAACACCAAAAAGTAAATCTAACATTTATCCTAAATTCATTAGAGACAAAATTGCAAAATAACGGAAAGCAAGAAAGAAATGGCAAACCAATAGAATTCCTAATGATAAAAGGTTTTCTTGGCTACTATTTCTGCATGCATTTCTTATCCGCTCTTTCATGTTTTCTGGCGTAGTCGGTACTTCGCAATAAACATTATCCTTAAGGATGCCCCACAAAAAAAAATCAAGAGGTGTTAAATCAGGTGATCTGGCAGGCCATGAACCTTCCAATCCATCGGCCAGCATAATCCCGATCTAAAGCTTCACATGCAATATGTGAAAAATGTGCTGGACACCCATCATTTTGCAGCCACATATTTTGTCTTTCTTCCCTGCTCAAATCTACAAGTAACGTTGGTAAGACGTCATCTAAAAAATTTCGGTACTTCTCCCTATTCAGCATACCATCAATAAAGTATAGACCGATCAATTTATCACCAATTATGCCACACCAAACATTAACCGACCAAGGTCGTTGATGTTCTACTTCACGCAACCATCTTGGAGTTCCAACGCTCCAACAGTGCATGTTATGTATAGACATAACATGCACTTTTACAAACAAAGAACAAGTCAATAGTGACTTGTTCTTTGTTTGTAAAAGTAGACTCATCCGAGGATAGCAGTTACCAAAGAAATTGACGTCCAACCGCATTCGTTCTTATGCCCATTGAGAAAATATTAATCGATTTTCAAAAACATCTCCATAAAGCTGTTGATGTACTGAAATGTGGTATGGGTGATACTTGTTGCGCTTTAATATTCTTAAAATGCTGGTCTTCGGTATTCCGGCGTCAATTGCAAGTCGTCGAGTGCCAACTTGAGGATTTACCTCAACGCTACCTAATACCGCAATTTCCTTCTTCCGTAGTTACAACAATTGCTCGCCGAGTTCTTTTTCTTGATTTCACATTTCCAGTGTTAGTGAAATCATTCACAACTCTGTAAAAGATACTTCTCGAAGGCGTATTTCGATCAGGAAAACGTTCTCGATACAAAGCTATACTATCAGCAACTTTTCTGCCACTTTCTCCATAAATAAAAATCATTTCGACTTTTTCTGCCACACTTAGAGTATCGATGATTTAATGACTTACTTTAAACACTTTGCCTTAATGTAAAACGATGGAATGTATTCAGAATTTGTTGCCAAATATTTTTTTTTAATACTTTACTTTTATCCACAAATTCAGATTTTACAATAAAATATATGGGATGCTATTTAAAAAATTGATCGTGACCTTCATATAACCTTGAAAATAAGGTTAAGGTCACAAAATGTTATCGTCATATGGTTTCCTTCTTCGCACAGAACAACTTTCATTTGGTTCATTTTTATGTAAAATGAACCGTATTCGAGATAATCGTTTGTCTCGCGTTAAATGGACCACCTGTATATGCGAATTGTAACATACAAGCAAGAGTTAACGGTAAATTAACAAATATCAATAAACAGTGGCATCCGACAGTGTGATTCTTTAAGCCAACAACAAGTAATAAAACAAGTACGACGTGTTAGAGGATATACGTAGAATGGTCTATGAGGAAATTCGAATAATATATTATGCAGACGATGCGGTGCTCTTTGCAGAAAATGAAGATGATCACAACAACTGAGAAAAAAATTCTTAGGAGAATTTCGGTGAAAATGTTATAAGACACCGAGCGAACTGAAGATATGCAAAATGGAAAATATTAACGAATAGGTACTAAACAGAAAACAACAATGGAACAAACACATCAACATAATGGTAACAAACAGACTTGTGCGAGTTGCAAGAGATAAATCACCCGACGGCAGAAGAAGTGCGAACATAACCTAATTCACAATGCTGGCTGAAATAGTTGAGCAACACAGACCATTGTTGAACAACTTTGGCATCTATCCCGAGCACAAACCTCCTAATCAATCTATATGTGAGGTGACGTCCCGTTAATTTAGGAACTAAGAAAAAGAAATTATTAAAGAACAAATACTGTTTTTCGGGAAAAAGCAAAAAAAAAAGATCATATGAAAAGATAGATTCTTTTCATTAAATATTAAACAAAACCGTAGGAATAAAAAAAGAGGACAGAACGACTATCATGATATGATATCACATGATCAGGTATGTTACGAAAAGAGTACACAAGAGGTACATATTGAATGCATGAGTACTGAAAATCAGATCTTTGTGGACCAATGGGATAAAATTCGTTGAGAGACTCCAGATATTCTATGTTATTAAAAGATGATTTTTAATCTTTAACTTCGAAAGGGTAAATGTGAAGTTACACAAAATTTAGAGAAGACTTCCAATAAATTATATTAGAAAGCGCTAGAAAGCTATGCGTTTGTTATACAGGGTGTTGGAATAGCCAATAACTTACCCATTTGTGTTTTTCGTTTCGTTGCTATGGCCACCAACATTGTTATTTTAAATGGAATGCATATGTTTTTCATGTATGCATTAAATAGCACTTAAATCTGTTATTTCGACGCCTACTTTGATTGTAATTAGCTGATTTAATATTTTCAGAAAACGCTTTTTTTTTCGATTTCATTTTTACACAACCATATGATTTGATATGTTCATCGCGTAGAGGGATTTATCTCTCCTCATTATCCTTTATTAAAATATACAAAACAAAAAAACATATGCATCCCATTTAAAATAATGTTGGTTGCCATAGCAACGAAACAAAAACAATGTAAACAAGCAAATATCGCCACAAAATGCGCCACAATTAATAAAGAAACTTTTGTTTGAAACATTTTTCTTTAAAACCACAAATTGCAAAGTTATGGGCTATACATGGGGCTATACACAGGTATTATTACAGAATATATTATACATATATTCCAGACATTTGAGACACCTGTATACAGTTCCCCGTTAATTTAAATGACTTAAAAGTGAGAATTAGTGATGAATGGAACAAAAGAGATCCTATTCTTTAAAAATTGATCTCTTCAATGTCTCAATGTCAAATAACTTTGTTTGGTTAAGCCATTGCTTAACATTGAAATTTAGATTGTTATCCAAAATTGTTGATTTTAAACTTCTAAGTTGCGTTTATTTATTTTAAATAAATTTTTCTATTTCTTTTTCGTTTATGTTTTAAATTATTTCTAATTAATTTTTTTATATTACACCACGTTGTAACTGTACGTCCATCTTGACGACTTATATAATTTTACGTTTTTCATTTTACAACTATATTTCAAAAATTTTAATCACATATTTTATTAATAAAATGTATCACACGTCTTTTTTAAAATTTCAATATTTCGAATTGGTCTGTTAGCTTCGTTTTTTGACAGTAAGTGATTCTATATATTTTTATATATTTAATGTTATACTTAATTTTGAGAATTAAGTTGTAACTTCGAAACTGGTACCGATTTATATTTTTGTAAATAAACGCAAGTTAGAAGTTTTAGCCAAAAATTGTTCATTGTTTAATTGCTTAACATGACCGGTCTGAAACAAATTTCCAACAGTCAAAACCATGCTATGAAGAAAGTTGTTATGCATTTACTATTTATAAAACCCCCTGGTTATTTTAAAATTAAATTTAAACATAACATCATAAACGCGGTCTTTAATACTACTTGTACCTACCATTCTTTTGTGAAATTTTCTCAAAAGCATCCTCATAAATATGACTTCGTCGAATGACAACGACGTTATCCGCATGAAATTCTTGAACAAAACGATCATGTCCTCCCGTACTATAAAAACATAAATCCCTTAGTAAAATGACCCTCGTGTTGAAATCTAAGAGAAACGGTAGCTCTTTAATTACCGCCAAAGATCTTAATTCGATCGTTGATAACGGTGGAAGATAATCTTCTATGTAAAAAAAATACGATGTAAAAAAGTTAAAATTTGCCAAAAAATAAAGTACAAAAGTATATCTACCTGCGGTTAACACTAACCCATGAAAAGGAATAAGTTCTTTTTCTAAATAATTTTTTCTCAACAAATCAGGTTGGACATGTATTTTCTTTTTCGTCCAAAAATCAGTTGCACAAAACTTTTTTCTCAAATCTAAAGTGTTCAACATTTTTACTGCTCGGACACAATTGTGATATAATTGAACCATTTCCGGCGTTGAAGTAATCTATTTAAAAACTTAAATTATAATTTAAAAAAAAAAAGTATTTTTTTTCTTACCATATTGTAACGACACATTGGAAATGCAATTTCAATTAGATTTAAAGCAAAACTTTTCAAGACATCAGACATTAAACTAAGTTCTTCCAGTGAAAATGTACTACTTGTATCTGTAGATTCGGAATCGGTTAATGTTTGAGTGTAAAAAGTAAACATGCTACAGAAAACAGAAGTAAGCATATAAGTTTCATTCCAAGAGCTTAACATCCCTCGATTTTTTATCGCTGAAGTGCGAACGTTAATTGCACTCCATAATTTTTCTAAAAATACTCCTCTTAAGGCCAACATATAAAGAATCCTGTAAATAAATTAATTGGACTTATCCCATTCTTTTGTTGACTTAAAATTTATTGTAATACAGTCAAAATCCGAAAATTTTTTTATTACTTAATTATTAGTTAATGACATAACCGGAATTTACTGCATGTATTAAATGTTATATTTACATAAATTTCCTGATTGAATTTTCAGAATAAACCATTAATAAGTTATGACAGATATTTGAGAGTGATATTAATAATTCTTCATCATCAGTATGTTCCATAAAGTAACAAAGTATTTTCTTAGCACGTACTGGGTTGTTGAATAAGACTAAGAAGTCTTCCAATACAATATGATCCCTTGTACAATCCATAGGTTCATCTAAATCACTATCTTCCGTCAAATCTTGAAGAGGACCATAATTTTTACACAAATTAACACTCATATTTGATAAAACGTTTATACTTTTTTTACTTTGACCTATAATTAAAAAATAATTATAGAAAGAGACTTAATCAAACTTAATTAATACATGGTGTCACAAAAGTCTGGAAACATAGTACTTGTTTTAAAAAAACAGATCGGAAGCGCAGAGACATAGGCTCACAGATGCTTGGGGAACGCAGCCACCATGGCGGAAAGGTAGTCATTTTGTGGGGTGTAGGACAGGCCTTGCTATCAAGGACCGACCACACAAAAAAAATGAAGGGGGTCAAATCAGACGAGTAATTTTTAACGTTCGCCAAAAACTTAGTACATATATCGTAATATTACAGCTTCTCAGAAATACATATCAGATGAAGTTGTAGATGTTTTGATTAATTAATCCGAGGTTACTTGCCATAAATACCAAAAATAAAATAAAAAGATTGGAAACAACAACACAAGGAATCCTAGAAGCTTGGAGAGAACATTATGCAGACACTCTCAGAAAAACGGAGAAACTGGAAGAGACAGAGGAACCTATAACGGTACAGGAAGTGAAGGAAGCACTTAAAAAAGAAAAACACCAAATCGCTAAGGGTAGACAGAATAACACCTGAAATGCTCAAGAGGAACAATAGTTATGGCTGAAAAATTGGTCCAACATCACTACTGAACCACCGTAGCCTTGTGTGCAGAATATCCAGGGGCGTCCTTTGAAGTGAGGCTGGCTCCAAAGAAGGACTTGCTTCATCATAATCTCACCAAGGTAGTTCTGGGAGTTGATCTTGACCCTCTGATCTACAAAAATCAGCGGTGTCTTCACGGTTGAAGTCACTCCAACTCAAACCATGATCTGAATAATTCGCGCGAGAATTCTGTCGTTTTGACGATTAAATCTTTGCTCAATCATGCATAGTTTTTCGTCAGTGGAAAGGATGACTGACCTCCGCCGTGAGAAGCTTTTCAGAAGATCGCAACATCTCTGAAGGTGAGTGGCCTTCATCTGTTCCGTCAAAGTATGAGTCTTTAGCATCTTAATCCAACGAAGCCCCAAACGATGTTTAACGATTCTGTGCATATATTCACAACTAATATTCAGCTCCGCCATTTTTCTGAGACTCCTCTTGAAATTCTGGCGGGAATTACGTCAATCTTTAGTGTTCCACTTATGGGATGATCCTCGATGCTACTGATACTGGCATTGTTTTTTGATTTGAAGAATTTTCAAGATGATGTAAGTAACTGAAAAGCTTTAGAGAATTACCTCCAATAACAAATTGAATTAAAATCAAATTACTGATGGAAGCAGTAAAGAATTGCAAGCTCATTCCACAATGTAAAAGATGCCAAAGGCATGGCCAACAACACAATCAGTTTTTGCAGAGGAGCGTCAGTTAACTAGAAACTGCACTAAATATAAAGACGCACTTTTCAAGTACATTAACTGGGGAAAAGAGCACCCGGTGAGCTATAGATAATGCACAATCGCAAAGGATCCACAGAAAAGAAAAGATAAGACCAAGAAAATTACTGTCCATGAACGATAAAATGTCCCTAACATAGTAAAGGATATGGTATGCCCATACTATGCGACACATACTTGTAAAATCACACACGCTTGTGCCATGGACATTCAATCATCTATGATGCAGATAATGCAGAACTCCATGCAAAACTCGGCAAATTAGAAGCCAGGGATAGTGGTACTATACCCAAAAGAAAATACTTATGGACTATAAGAATATACGATTTGCTGCCTGGAGTGTCAACAATATTCTTAACAAAAAACGGTAAATAGATGTCTGCCTAATTTCTGAGACACACATGACAAATCAATCAATCCTACCTTAAAATAAAAGGTTATTAGACATACCACACCACTCAGCCGGATAGTCAAGTCAAGGGAGATCGTTTTAAAAGAATTAACCAGTTCGAAGAATGCTAAAAGACAACATTCAACTAGCAGTAATAAACAAAAGGTCGGTGCAGTTTACTGCGTACCAAAACATAATATAAAAAAATTTGTAACTATCCTAATTTAACTTTTAGGAGAAAGATTTATTTTGCTGGCGGGAACTACAATACCAAACTACGCAACAGGCTACTGTCCTACCAATACCGGGAACATTGCCGACTTACTAGATTTTTTTATCACCAGGAAAGTATTGCGATCGATTCGGGAAACATAGCGACCACGCTCATTCAATTCCTGAATCATTCGCGCAAGAATTCTGTCGTTTTGGCGGTGGAATGATTGCTTAATCGTGAATAACTTTTCGTCAGTGAAGAGGATATCCGAGATCCGCGGGTGAGAAGTTTGCGACATCTATAAAAGTGAATGTCTTTTGTATTTTGATGCTGCGAAGCCCCAAACGATATTTGACAATGAAACTAAATCTAGAACTAACAATATCACTAGAACAATCTTTCGGGTTAAACGGTGCATCTTTTGAAAAAGTGTTTGACGTTTCGGAAGCCATGTTGCAACCTTCCTCAGAAACAAGTTCGAAGTGTGGAGATGTTTGAAAAGAAAGCATTAAGAAGGTGTTCGTGAAAACCGAAGCTATGTCTCCGTTAAGTGGATGCCACTTTCCTGATCTGGCAACACGAAAAAGAGCGACTCCAAGCATTTCTACACCACCTAAACTCACAACACTCCATAATCAAATTTACTATGGATACGTAAGCTGCAAAACAGCCACCTTTTCTGGGTGTATTAGTCACTAGGAAGACAGATGGGGCCATGGAAATGGGAGTGTATCGGAAGAAGACACACTCGAACAGGTATCTGCAGGTTTCATCCCATCACCATCCACAACAGAAGAGATCAGTGATCCAAGACTTGTTCCACCGAGTAGAAAGGATATGCGACAACAAGAATTTACTGAAAAATTTCTACAAGATGTACTGCAGAAGAACGGCTACACGATGAGAGTTATCCAGCGAACCACCAAATAACGACTTCCTCACCTTGTGACATTTAAAAACCATCTAAAACGTCATTTATTTGCTCTCCAAGTATCTTCCTGCGAACTTTTTCTTCTTCTACTTTTACTTTTCTTCTCTTCTTCTTTTATTCCAGCAACTATCATTATGCACCGTTTTTAGTGACCATAAGTTTAGCACAGCAGGTTGCCATTTATTTATTGTTTTTCTTATATAACTTAGTATATGGCTGATCGATTGGGTTGTTTGGAAGATATCGCTTACGCGATAAATCGACCCTTTTGCCCGTATTTATGCATTAAGTTAAATGTGTACATTTTCTGTAATTTGGCAATAAATTTATTTATTATTATTACAACGTAAGTATAATAACGACAAGATCAAGGTGCTAGCAAGAACCGGATATTATTTCCAAAGGATTAGAAGAGAGGCGATAGAGATTCATCGACATAGCAATAATATGAATAGAGAAGGCGACTGGTTAACTGAATAAAGCCTTTTCCTGGATTTGACAAAAACATCTTAGTTGGCAATTAGGCAGTAATTAGTGTTAATTGATTATTGATTATCTTTTCATTTCGAACTTGTTTCTGAAGAAAGTCGCATCATGGCTTCCGAAACGTTATACACTTTTTCAAAAGACGCACGGCTTAATCCGAAAGTTTCTAGTTCTAGGTCTAGTGTTAGTTCTAGCGATAGTGCTAGTGTTAGTTCTAGTTTATGTAACACAGGCCATGAGAGCCTTCGTACTTAGATGTTTGACGATTCTGTGTACAGATTCACGGCTGATATTCAGCTCTTTAGCCATTTTTCTGAGACTTCTCTTGATATTCTGGCGGAACCTGTCCCGGCCATGCTTGGACATGGTTGGAATCACAGCAGTCTTTCATCTTCCGAAGAGTTCTTCCTTCGAGTTTTACCGAAAATTTTGTGTCTTAGGCGGCCTCTGACAACGCAATTACACAGTATATAAACTGGATGAAATTCTCCATATTTCTCTAAATATAAAAAACTAGGATTTATGTAAGACTTCTTACGATACCTTCCAAGATTTTTATCCTTTTTTGTTGAAGTTTTTAATCTGTGATTTTGTTAATCTAATTTAAATTTAATTGTAAATTTAGTTATAAGAAATTAGATCTACTCCTGAACCCCACCTATTAACTAATTCCATTATATTGTATAATTTTTCTATGTACTGAAGATGAAACATTAGTTTTCGAAACATGTCTACTTAAATAGAATTAAAACATTTTAATATTTCTCAAAAATGTTTTTACTTTTACATAAATCCTAGTTTTTTACACAGTATATGTTTAACCGTTTCGGGCTCGTCGTTGCAAAGTCGACAAGTTTGATCCATAGCTTGTCCACTGTGGAAGAGGTGATATTTTAGGGGCGCATAGCCGGTCAGGAAACCTGAGAGCGTCCTTAGATCCCTTTCGCTAAAGCATAAAACCTCTCTGGTTTTGTTTTGCGACGGAGTTATCATACTCTTCACTTGTCTGTAACGTGGAAGTTCTTTCCAGCATAAGGCTACCTTTGAGGCCTACCAACTGTTGATTACTTGCTTTAGGTGGCTTTTTTGTAGTCTACAACCGGGTTGGGGTCCAATGAAGGGCGTTTTTACTGCCTCTTTGGCCAGCTTGTCCGCCTTCTCATTGCCCTCAATGTCTCTGTGACGTGGAACCCACCATAGAGTAATATCATTGCCCCTAGCGAGTTCTCTCAGGTAGCTGGTACATTCTCAGATCAGTGCGGAGTCATACGTATAGACCTGAATTGCCTTTAGGGCGGCCCGAATGTCTGTGCAAATATTCAAAGATGCACGTTTCTGCCCCTTTTTGTAGGTTCAAAGCGGTGCAGACGTTTATAGCAAGAACTTCTGCTTGAAAATGGTTACGTCCGAGGTGAGGGACAATTTAATGCGGCTATTTGGTCGACTAATGCCATGCCTACTCCGAATCCAATTGTCTTTGAAGTATCCGTGTACCAGGCTAGGGATCCTCCTTTTCTCAATCAAACTGTTTCTAAATATGACGTTATGCGGGTGGTTGAAATTGTATTCTGTCGGTATAAGGTCCATTTTAATTTCAATCAAGTGATTTAGATATGGGTCCTTGAAGATTTCGAGATGTCCTCTGAAGTTACCCTGCATCAGCTTGAGTGAAGAGCATGTTTTCGGTGATAAGGCACTTAAAGCTGCTTCCTTTTGTATGTATAAATGAAATGGGGTGTCTCATTGAACCCATTATATTGACATGCTAACCGCTGGATTCATGGGTCTGATTATTGCTACGTAGGCTCAATGAGCTATTCGTGGTTAAAGGCCTTTTCCTAGCCTTGTCTATGTGGGAGTTCCAGTTTAATTTACTACATAGTAAATACCTATTACCCCTAGGTATTTAACATGTGTTTTGAGGTTAATAGTTCTGCCTTCAATGGAGGGTGCTCTTAATGGTAACTTCCTTCTCAGAGTAAAAGGCACTATTTCGATTTTGTTTGGATTGATGCTGAGCCCATTGCTTCTGCACCAAATGCTGATAAGTATTAGGGCTTTCTGCATTAGTTGAGTTATGATTGTGTCATATTTACTTCGGATTATGATTACCAGGTCATCAGCATACCCCTGAATCATGAATCCATTTTTTGTTAAGGTGTTCATCAAGTCATCAATTACCAGGCACCATAGGAGAAGTGCTCCCCCTTGGGGACATCCTCTTAGCGCCTTAATAGTCAACGACTCACCTCCCAGACTGGCTGTGATCTGCCGACTTTACAACATGGTTATACACCATTTGATCGTCGACGGATGTATATTTTTTACATTTAGAGCATTCTCTATGGATTCGTAGGAGGTGTTATCAAGAGCATCCTCTATGTCTATGATCTCTATCTCTTTGGTTGCAATAGGGCCGTTAAGTACTTTTTCTTATTGGTTTATTCGAAAGTTTTTTAAAATTGATTGACCCTATATTTTTTAATTTTTGATTCTGAGGCTTAGTTTTTCAAAAAAAAAAAAATAATAAAGTTTGTAACTACAGAGCGCGAACTCCAAAGTACGTCACTCATAAAATTAATCAATAAAATTCCTGGAGAGAGATAATGCTACGAATCTTATGCGCTAGAAGAAAGCGGGAGAGAACGTAACGTCTGTGATTTCTTTCTTCTTACTTAAAACGTCATTTGGAGTCGGAGGTGGGGAATTTTAAACTTTTACATTAATTATTGCAAAAATTAAACAATTTTCGAACGTGAAAACGTTACTAATTCGTCTAATTTAATTTAGATTATCGATTTTTTGAAAGACGGTCTTTTTAATCGATTGACCTTAACGGCCCTATTGTCTCATCTAAAGTGCTTGTCAAAGCATTGAGAGCAGTAATTGTTGATTTTGCTTTCTGGTAAGCATGTTGATTCGGATGGAGTGGTCATCAATTACCTTTTCCATCCCTTTTAGGAGAAATGAAGTTGGGCTAATTGGTCTGTATGCCTTGGGATCGCCTACCACCTTTAGGTATGAATACCACCTTTACTTTTCTCCATAGTGTAGGTATATAGCTGAAGCTATAGCTTGCTATATATAGGGATATTATTACTACGAACAGGTCTTCTATGCCTTTTTTGCAGAAAAATAGGCAGAATTCCATCCCCTCTGGGTGATTTCAGGGGCTTAAAATTAGAAATAGCCCACCTTACACTGTTGGGTGTAAAGATATTCCCAGCTAGATATCCATCACTTCAGAGTCGCCATCCGCATGGAGGCAGACTTTTGAGGAAGGGAGTCTGTGCTCAGTAAGAGCTCCAGCAATTCCTTATTATCCTCAGTATAATTTCCGTCTTGTTTGCATAGGTGGCCTTAATCAGTGTTATGGTGTTTCGCCAAGATCTTATGCAGGCGAGCAACTATAGGCGTATTATCTACGTCTTCACAGAAGCTACGCCGCCAGCTTTTTCTTTTAGCTTTACAGATGGCCAAGTTATATTCCATTAGGGTTTTCCTTTAGAGGTTTCATGTATGCTCGAATTTGGAATGCCTGCACTTTATTATATACTCTTCTAACCGTGACTCTCTGTTGCTCAAGGTCCTTATTCCACCTTGATGCTCCAAATAACGACTGATTATGCTTTTATGTTAATGGCTCAGCGTGAAAAGCGTGGCAACGTCGGATTCTAAGATCATTTAAAAGCAATTCTTTGGATTTTTGGAAGAGTCTTTAGTAACAATATGATAAATATGCAAGTGAAATTTCACATTCATACAATAAATATGAGCAAAGTTATAATACTGCAAAGTTAGGCTCCTAAATTTTTATGACACCTTAATATTAATTAATTATACTTACTATAATTTTTAGGTTCAAGTGATAAAATGCAGAATAGAAGACTATCTGTTGTAAAATAAGTATTACATTGATTAAGATAGGTAATAAGATCATCATATGGAATAATGGATAATTTGGCTAAATAAGAAATGATATTGGTTCTTATGAATGAGGATAAATCAGGCGAAAGAAAACCGGAACAAAATTCGGATAAAATTAGATTTTTCTCATCAGTTAAATTATAATACTCAAACGGCTTAATAAGCAGTTTTAAAATGGATTCAGAGTGTAACTGTGGTGATTTATTATCATCCAACATCGACCGTAATTTTCTAAAGTATCCTAAAAGAATCGTTTTTGTAATTACAAAGTTGATTAAAAATTTAATTTTTAAAAGTTACCTTTACTATTTAAATATCCAATATTATTTGGTACGCTAAATTCAATAAGACACATAAATAAAATTTCTGGATTCTCAACTTTCTCTAAAGAGTTTAAACACAAAACCAAAAAACGTTTTATCAACCAACTAAATTGATTATGGCTCATCATCCCAATTATTTCCATCTTATTTTTTAATAAACTCTCACACATAAGAAACTTAAAAGAAAATATTGTTAATCTTTATATAGATTAACACATTTCTAGCAAAACTTACAAATCTATCTTTATCTTCTTTTGTTGAATAAAAGAATAATAATCTAGAAAGTCTTAAACCAATATTTTGTTTGTTTTCTTGGTCGAATAACAAACGTTCTTGTTGTTTAACACATTGCCTTGTTAAATAACCCCTTATATACGATTGTAATGTTAAGGTGCTTTGAAATTTAATACGTTCATCCTGCAATTAATTAAACTTTAATTAAACAAAACAAAAAGTTTCGTGCAAACACTTACATGTCTTTTTTGGCGTTCTTCGTGGGCTCGTTGTAACAAGACATCTCGAGTATTTTCTTTACTAGCACCAGATAAGTTCTGTTCTGGTCTTGATCTATAATTGCCCTCGAAGCTGTATGTCATCTTAAAAGCTAATAAACGACAAATTAATTTATAAAAAAATGTTTGAATGAAAAAATGTAATGACAACTTGAAAATTTTGTTTCATTGATATTTTAAGATAATTATTGTAAAAAACAACAATTTAATTTACCCATTTTAATTGTTACAGTATCTAATTACGTATAATTCGAAGCACTTTATCACCGCAATTGATTCTAGAAAAACCTCCACTCATTAAAGATCTACAACTTTTGACAGATGGTTACTTTAGTGAATTTAGCTACAAAACAAAATGTTTCAAAAAAAAAAATTTAATAAGATTTTTAAAAAAATATTTGTTTATTAAGCATTAATTCAAATGATATTGCCCTTTATTATAAAGATTACTTAAAATATAAAGATTAAGGGATTTAATCAAAGCATTGTCTTTAAATAGTATTTATTCAAAGGATAAAATTAAAAACGGTTGGATAACCTGATTCATTCAAATTTAGCTGTCAACTCAATAAATGTACTAAAACTTTAATTTTAGAAATAAAAACAACAAAAACCTTTTAAAACATTTATTTACTGACTTTTAAACTTATCTAACATGACCCTTCAAGATAAAAATTACTGAGCTGAGCTAACTAAGGCTTCACCAACTTCAATTGCAATTTGTGCTTCAGCTTTAGCCTAAAAAATAAAAAAAAAATAAATATTTTATTAAAACACAGTAATTTTTTTAATTAATACCTCATCTGTAGAAGCAGACTGAAGTTCTGATTGGGCTTTACTCAAAATTTCTCTAGCAGCAGAAACATCAATCTGTTCTACCGGCGCTGCTTCTTCAGCTAAAACTTGTACTGAAGAATCTTCATTTATTGTAACAGTTCCACTTGAAACAAAGATTTTCTTAACTGTTCCTTCATTTTCAAAAACTGTGACCACTCCGGGTTTTAACACTGCTAAGGTTGGGACATGTTTTGGTAAAATACCAAAAGCTCCAGAAAATGAGGGGACATCGACTTGTTTTACATTAGCTGAGTCGTAAAATACCTTCCAAAATAAATATAAAATTGATCTGAAGAGGTTGAAGAAATTGATTTTTGTTACCTGATTGCCTGCAGCAAGAGTGAATTTCATTTCATCCGCATATCCTCTTCTTGAGACGGTGTTGAACGTCTGACGGGTTAATAAACGAGAAAAGGAACGTACTGAGGCCATTCTGCGTCTGAAAATTTCGATAAAAATGGTTAAAATATCCGCATAACCTATAAAATATTACATAATAATGTGGTGTATGGATTAGTATCAAATAAAAAGAATTTCGTTATCGGTTAAAATTTTTGAGATCTATTTTGTTAAATAAATGCGGAATCTTACGTGATTTTTGTGGAGAATCGGAGGAATAAATGATTTAAAAGATCAAAACTGATCTATACAATTTTGACACCAGACAGAACCTATCTAGTGATTTTTAAGTGTTGATGTTGGCAATAACAACTTCATTAGGTTTTATTTTATCTATATATAGGTGTCCCTTTAAACGTTTCTAACATGAAGCATTGAATTGTTTATAACAATTAATTATTGTAGTAGTTATCATCATGAATTCTACACATATTTCAGTTTTAACAAAAATTCCTCTATTATTACAAGAGTTAACATTAATTTTACCTAAAATAAACTTTAAGGAAGTAAAAACAGGTTTATTTATACATTTATTTTTATTTTTGGGTGCTTAAAAATTTATTTTTAGTAACTGATCCATTATTAAAACAATCGGAAATAATAATATGTGATTATGATTTAATAGCACCTGTTTTAAATGATTTACCCAACACCAAATGGATTCAGGGTACTTGGGCTGGAGTGGATAAACTTTTACCGAGTGTAAATCAACAAAAACCTCTCCCATTTATAATAACTAGGTTTTCAGGAAAACATTTTGGTCGAATGATGTCTGAGTATGTTATAAGCCAGATTGTAAGCCATGAACGGAGTTTTGAACAAATTAATATGAATCAAAAAGAATCCCTTTGGAATCAGGATGGGAAGTTTTCTGAATTTAGAGTGATTTCTGATTTAAATGTTGGTGTAATGGGATTGGGGCAAATAGGAAGTTGGGGTTTGTTTTCTTTGTGATGTATTTTGAGTAATAATAATTTTGTATTTTTAATTTTATTTAGTGGTGCAAATTTTGAATATGTTGGGAGCTTCTGTTTTTGGATTTGGGAGAAAATCAGATCCTGATGTTGCTATAAAACCGTATTTGAATGAATATTTTACCAATACAAATACAAATTTAGTTGATTTTTTGAAGAAATGTGATTATGTTATAAATATATTACCAAATACAGTTGAAACTAAGGGTTTATTAAGTGGAGGTGTTTTAAAAAATTGCAAAGGTAGCTACACAATTTTTAATTTTTGGAATAATTAATTAATCATGTTGTTTTAAGATCGTAACGCTGTTTTTATAAACATTGGAAGAGGTTCTATCATATCAGATGAAGATCTTATTGAAGCAATGAACAAAAAGTGGTTATCTGCAGCTATTTTGGATGTGTTTAACACAGAACCTTTACCTAAAGAAAGTCCTTTATGGAAATTGCCTCAAGTATTATCTTTAAAACTTTGTTTCATTAAATAAAACTATTTTTTCAGGTAAAAATAACTCCCCATATCTCAGCTCCAAGTCGAGCTAAAGACATTGCAGAACAATTTAAAGAAAATTATCATCAATATAAAAATAATGGAAATTTATCTGCTGTTTTAAATATTATAAGTGGATACTAAAATAAATAAAGGATATTTTAAAGGGTTAAAAATAATTTATTCGCTTTTCAAAAAAGATATAAATCTGATTAAATTAAAAAAAATGTTTTAACTTAATTATGAATTGTTTACATATTCTGCTGGCGCTTTTAATTTAAATTAAATCAATAATTTTCAATTATATTAATTATGTATAACATCATTTCATAGCAAAAAATCAAGAAATACTGCAAATTTTCCTGAAGAACTTATAACCCTTCTCTGCTTTGAAAATGATGAAGAAAGAAATGATTTTTTATCGTCAATTGCAACTAATATTGAAATTGTAGAACACAGTGAAGAGGAAGAAAAATAATATTCATTTTTCTCAATCTTCACTGTGTTCTACAATCTCTTCTATTCTTTTCTAAAAGAAAAATAAATATAGGTATAAAACAAATGTTAAAACACTAAATTTGCTTATGGGTTAAAACCAAAGAAATTGTATAACTAGAAGCACATATAAACACCAAGAGTTGAAGCCAGCGTTCGATGTGTTTTGTTTACGTTTTCACTCAGTCCAGAACGGGACGCGCTCAGATCGTATTTTCGAACAGGCCAATCTTTTTATGGTTCCTTTGAAAATAAATTTACCTGATTAATGTTTATCCGGGTCGTTCTCAGAAGGGCTAAAAAAGTGTCCCTCTAATATCAAATCTTATATACTGAGATAAGTACATTCATTCGAGCAAAAAGCTATATGGTGAGACTCATTAGTATTACTTCATTAAGTTACATTAAAGTAACAAATATTTTATGTACACAAAATTCAAAAATTTTTAAAAGTTGGTTCGCACTTCATTAAATATTCAGGTGTCCCTCTGGTAAAATTGCAACTAAAACTATTTCTAAATCGGAAATAAAATAGTATTATATCATTTTATTACTGTCTTTTTTATATGGGGTAATTAACAAATCGATTTGAAGATGGTTTGCAATTTCTTATACATTTTGGTTTTAAATTAATCTCGAAAATGTTGTGTCCCTCGTTTTAATCTCAACTCCGTTACCACATCTTCTAATATAAATATTCGTGTCGCCATGGTTACCCGGCTCATTGTTAACACTGCATAGGGAAGTTAATATTAGTATGACACTATAACTGTTAAAAAATATAAAATTGACACGCTGAATATATTCAAGATTTTGATTGATTTCTACAAATATTTTCTGGCTATTCGGTTTCTCAACTCCGTTACCTGTCGTGAAAGGTAAAGTTTAAGTGATTTCTTACTGTAATTACATTAAGTAAATTACTAAAAAATATACGAACACGGTATGCAACTATCAGCATAAAATCTAATTTAGTTTAATTTTGAATATTTTTGAAAGCGCGTTTTCTCAACTCCGTGAATTTCAACTCCGTTACTAATGTTAGGCAGTAGCATTTACAGCCACATTTAACAGTTACAACGCATTATGTACTGTAAATATTTTATTTTCAATGTATCCAACATTTAGTTAAAAGTTAAAGAAAAAGAAAACAGTGCTCAAATGTGATAATTTCCAAATTTATATGCACCATGTTTCTCTTGCTTTAGACGAGATCTAATTTTGAGTATAATTTCGATTTTACGTTTTATTATTCTTTTGTTCCAAAATGTGAAAACTAGAGGTAAGGTCTTAAGTGAGGCTGCGGTTACAACATCAAAGTAAAAGAAAATATGCAATTAAAAGAAGAGGGATGCTTTGAGAAAACTGAGAGCGCAACGAAAAAATGATCCTGAGGCTTATGAAATTGCTAAATTGAAGGAAAGAGAGCGGTATCATCGCAGAGTTAATTACGATAAAATAAAAAAGATATCAATGTTAACAGATCCAGATAAAAGACGTAAAAGGGAAGAATGGAGGGAACATAGTAAGAAACTTACCAAGCAAAAAAGGCAGCTAGAAAAACACCAAGTAGTTACAGAATTGATACAATCTATTCCGAGATACATATATGTTGCACCTCAGGAATATATCCCATCAGTATCGGTGTATAAATGTAGTGAAAAAGAATTTGTCTGTTGATAAAATCTTGATCCATATGGATTTTTCTAAAAATTACTTCTGTAAATATACTGAAAAAGTACAATCTGCACACTTTGGCTCTTTAAAGCATCAGATATCTTAGATATAACTGCGGCGTGGTAAAGTCTGTCAAGCAACCTTACCACACTTTTCATACCTTAGTTGTATATTAAAAGTATCCACACCAGATTACGATACTTTAGTAAAAGTCTTACAAAACTCAATAAAAGGGATCAAGATCTTTCGTATCGATGAAAAACTAATCCCTATGATCGACGAACTGATCCCAGAAAATATTCCTACGTTTAAAGGTACGATGAAAGTAGCCTGGATCAATAAACTAAGGAATAGACTTACTTTCAGAGAACTGACATGTCTGTGTTGTGAACCCGGCCAGCTTTGCTCACACTATAACTTGGATCTAAAGAGTATAGAACAGCTCTACGTTATAGCGTATATATATATGCCATTGAGTTTCGTACGCAATAAGTTGAGATGTTAGGAACAAAACTTGGAATTAAATTATTATTTGTCAACTCCGTTACCACTTCTCAACTCCGTTACCTCTCAACTTAACATTATTTTCATTATTTAATTATATTCTCAAAGTACAAAACTTTTGTTATACTAATATGTTTTCTTCGATTAATATATAACCTAGAAAACTAATTACACGAATTTTTTTCTTATAAATTTTTCCACCCTTTCTGAGAATGACCCCATGTTTACCGAACCCTAATAAATGAATAATTCTCTCCTAAGTAAACAAGGTTTGTGTGCGCATTTGTGTTTTGGCTTTGACGAAGTTAACATTTTAGTAGTTCTGTAGTTTACAGACTACAAGACTCACCTTTTTACATAGAAAAATGGACTCAAAATATACAGGGTGATTCACATAAGAACCGACACAGAGCAGGGACATGTAGAGGACAATAAATTAAGATGATTTAACGCAACTTATCTCTATACTAAGTTGTACATCTGAGGAGTTATAGGCCTTCAAAGTTGGCTCTTAAATTTTTAAAAAGTTCAATATCTTCGTAATACATTAAGCTAGAAAAACCAAATTTGGTATACGTTATGAGTGTACCAAGGGTATTAATTGGTAGCAAATTGAACTCAATTGAGGCATTTCAAAGGGTTGATTAAGGGTGATGGTACCCTAAATTTTGACAGATTTTTTTAACCTTTTGGCGGATTTAATACATTACTACTTCATTTCATGTGGAATTTAATTCTAAAACTTTTCTTACTCTTATTATTTTTTAAAAAACTTTGTCGTTTTCATAAAAAACTTAAATAACTAAAGACACGTATTTCGTAATGTTACTTAAAATAAGAGAAAATTTAGTAGTCGGCTATGAAATTGTACGTCAAACTTGACAAATAGGTTATAAAGTTATTTGACGACAAGGTTTTCTCCATCTTTTCTCCATCACCTTTCATTCTTGAGTTATGATCGATTTTAACACCAAAAGTACCCAATTTTGACATTTTGGGGATTTTCTCTTTATCACCTGAAAATCATTACATCTAAACTAAATTTGTTTATGGATGATGTCTTCTTAGTTGACAATAAACAACTTATTCCTAAAAAACTTTTCTCCATCACCTTTCATCCTTGAGTTATGATCAATTTTAATACCAAAAGTACTCAATTTTGATATTTCGGTGATTTTCTCTTTTTATCATTAGAAAATCATTATAACTAAACCAAATCGGTTTATGAGTAATGTCCTTGTAGTTCATAATAAACAATTTATTTCAAAAAAACTTTCCTCCATCACAATTAATTTTTGAGTAATGATCGATTTTGATAACAAAATTGCTTACTTTTGATATTATGGGGATTTTTTCTTTATCACTAGAAAATCATTACATCTAAACAAAATCTGTTCATCAATAATATCCTTTTAGTTCATAATAAACAATTTATTCCTAAAAAACTTTTCGCCATCACCTTTCATTCTTGACTTATGATCGATTTTAAAACCAAAAGTACTCAATTTTGACATTTTGGGGATTTTCTCTTCATCACTAGAAAATCATTATGCCTAAACTAAATTTGTTTATGGATGATGTCTTTTTAGTTCATAATAAACAATTTATTCTTAAAATTACGTACAATTTCACAGCCGACTACTGAATTTTCGATGATTTAAGTAGCATTAAGGAACGTATCATTAGTTTTTATGAAAACGACAATTTCTTTTTAAAATAATAAGAGTAAAAAAAGTTTTAGAATTAAATTCCACATGAAATGAGGTAATAATGTATTAAATCCACCAAAAGGTTAAAAAAATCTGTCAAAATTTAGGGAACCATCACCCTTAATCAACCCTTTGAAATGCTTCAATTGGTCTCAATTTGCTACCAATTAATACCTTCGGTACACTCATAACGTATACCAAATTTGGTTTTTCTACCTTAATGTATTATGAAGATATTCAATGTTTTAAAAATTTAAGACCCAACTTTGAAGGGGTACAACTTAGTATAGAGATAAGTTGCGTTAAATCATCTTAATTTATTGTCCTCTACATGTCCCTGCTCTATGTCGGTTCTTATGTGAATCACCCTGTATTTTTCAATAAATCGTCTCTAAATTTGAGGTGCGTCTTATAGTCCGAAAAATATAGTATACTTTTCTGAAAAAAGATTTTATTCAAAATGATTTCAGTTTTCGTAAATATAGAAAAAAAAATATTTAACTATAAATTGTCAGAAAACTATTTAAGGATTTTTTTAGTGCAGTTAGGCGACGTTGTGGGTATTGTAACAATCATACTGCACTACAATTTGAACAAGAATACAGAAAACTATTAGTAAATACCGGCAGTAAAGGGGCAGAATTTGGAAATGCAATTGCATGAGATTATTCTAATATTTTAAATTGTTCATCAATACTCAAAAATAAAAATGATGAAATTGAAACACTGGACATTATAGACGTTGCGAACTTAGACAACATGCATTTAACTATCTAACTACTATTTTCTAAAAACTAATATTACTTGTCAATTTTGATTAAATATAATAGAAGGAACTAGTAATATTTCCATGCTACAGATACAAGACATATTATGGGATTTATGACTAAAACTTCTGAGTTTGTAGTCAAACTTTACTTAATTAGAGAAAAAATTATTAGAGACTATAAACGACAAAATGTATTATTCAATAACAAGAACATACTTTTAAAGTTAAGTAATTCCATTTTATTAAGTTTACCTCAAAACATTTATGATCTTTTTGAAGATCATGCGTATGATGATGCATGTTATTGATGGGCATGAAATACAATGTATAAAGTTAATAATAACAAAATTTATTAACGTAAAGTTATTTAATGAAACCAGGTTAATAAATCAAGAACCTAGGCTTTGACATATGTTAAGCAAACAAATATTATTTTCATACCAAAAACCAATACCAAAACAAACACTCGAACGTTGGTTTCAATCTTGTATACGGGCGGAGATAGGCAATGCTGCTTCTAGTTATACAATTTCTTTGATATTAACCTCACCCTCCACCTGTTCGGAACCCCCCCCCCCTTTCCATATGTCGTTTATTACCTTCCATAGTATCATCTACAGCTCCGTTCAATAAAAGCTCTTTTCTCACGACAAATATCACCAGTAACAAAATTACGTAACTGCTTATAATATTGAAATTGTACAGGATGAAGATCTTCAGGAGGTTCATTTTTAGCTCATGATGTTGTCGATCTGTTTTGTTTTGAAATCGCTTCGTTTAAATGATTCCAAGAAGTGCTGTAAGAAGTGTTTTATTGATGCTTATCATTTTTTTTAAGTTTGGATGCTTTCGCCTGATATTTTCCTGATATTGTTAAACATTAATAATTTCCAATGAAATATTTTTGGTGGTGTGTTAGTTTTTGTTGATTCGTTATTAAATTCGTAAATGTTATTATTGAATACTAAAATTAATAAAAAACTTTTAAAGGATTAAAAATAATTTATTCGTATAGAAAATGTAAAATAAACATTTTTCTTTTTTTGAAGACGAATAAATGCTTTTCCCACAATTTAATAATCATTAAGAAAGTATAAAAAAAAACAAATTAAATCCTAAAAGCTAATGTAACCGGTATAAAAAAAAGTCTTAAAAACTATTCAAATAATTTATCACTGAAAGCTCAGCCCATATTTTTGTGTTATTTGTGGCGAATGTGTTGAAGCTACGGCCATCAAAAGCGGTATATCATTCACCTCCAATTGTAAAGTAGATGTCAGTAATTCAATACTACAAAAATCCGTTTCTAAAAGCATTTCGGCCAAGGCTTTCGATCGCAAACACACTTCTTGGAGTCTTTCTTCAATATGCATTAAACACTAAAAAATATATAAATCTCATTAAATTAAAAAAAATAGTTTTGTTTTAATTATGAATTATTTACATGTTCTGCAGGCGCTTGTAATTTCCACATTTGTAGTAATTGTTCTAACATATTTGCTACTAATTGTGACATTCCAATTCGTACTCCAGATGTACCTTTATCAATTACATAAGTATGACTTGACATTAGTTGTACTTCCCTAAAAAATTTATTTACAAAATAATAGATTATAAGAAGAAAATAATACCATGAATCTGTGTTAGCTATGATCGCTACAGCTTCTTCAATTGGTTGATCTAAAAGTGGATGTCGCACCGCTAAAGATAAATCTTTACGAAGCGTCGTTTCCCAATTATTTTTTGGCGAACTTATCCCTTGTAAAACCATATCAGAAGTATATTTATCGCTAATTCCCCGAAATAACGAACTTGTATACCCAATAGTAATGAAAGATTTTGTTATAATCGATCTAGGTAGTGGTAATTCGATAATATTCATAAAATCGAAATATTCATCTTCCCTACTTTCTTTTCTACTCCCTCCACCACAATATCGTAAAATCGGTTCATTAATAACCGTATTTGTTAATTTTTGTCTAATAAATTTTTTTGGCTTCCTTTCTTCATAACTTTCTTTCGCAGATTGAACCTCAACTTTATCAAAATCTTGAATTTCACTAATAAATTCTAATTCAGACGCGTTAGATGGCGTTTGTAAAGCTTCAACTGTATCATCATCATCTCGATAAGTGGAAAAATCAAAATTCGACGATAATTCCCCGTTATAAGTCGTCACTTTTTCGGAAAACCTTAAATTTGAAAGCTCAATGTTTTTACTTTTCATATAATTGGTAAAAATCTGTTGATGTTGTTTAAAATTGAATTTAACTGAATAACGCGGTTGAGTTGTGTGATCGTTCGGTTTTATATCTTCAGGAGGTTCACTTTTAGCTCGTGATGTCGATCGGTTTTGTTTTGAAATCGCCCCGTTTAAATGATTCCAAGAAGTGCTGGGTTTAATTGATGCTTTATCGTTTTCTTCATCTTGGATATTTTCGCGTGATGTTTTCCTGGATTTTATATCTTTTTTTAATCCGACCAATTTGTCATCGTCGCCCAAAATAAAAACGACATCGTTTTCGTCATTTTTATTGTTAAAATTAATAATTTCTGGTGGAGTATCTTGTGGTGGTGTGTTAATTTTTGTTGATTCGTTAAATTCGGAAATACTTGGTATTTTCTTTAAAGTTTGAAATGAATTTCTTTCAGGAAATAAATTATTATTGTCAAAATCACTACACATTTTACTTAAATCAGTTAAACAGCTTGTACTTTTAATCATAGGTTTTTCTTTTTTAAAATCAAGTAAAGGATTTAATCTATCAATTTCAGGATTTGACTCAGGTTTGGTGGAGTTTTTTCTTCTTTTTGGAAAAATTAATTCTAATTTTGTTTGGTTACTATTTTTGTTAAACGTTCCATCTTCGATTGCAATTTCTTTTAGATGATCTTCATACTTTTTAAAATTTTCTTTTGGAATACAATTTTTTTCTTTGCAAATTTCATCGACGGTTTCATTTTCTTCTTCAATATTTTCACGTGTAGCACACTGTCTTAACACGTCATTACAACGAATAAAATATGTTAGTGAACTTAATATTTTTGTTATTATTTCTGAATTGTTCGAGCCGGTTATCACAGTATGAGCCATTTTTGTTGGATGACCAACAGCGCCATATAAATCATTTAATTGTCCCCACAAAGGATTACCCGTTTGTTCCAACTTCTTAAAAACTTCTTTATCACTTTCCGTGGATCTCCAAGCTGTAGCAACCCAACCCAAATGATGTGTTAATACAGCCGTTATCAAAGTACTTATAAAACTAAAAAAAATTATATTTTAAACCATTTTTTTTTTTTGATTTTAAATAACTTACAAATTTGTATTTTTTATATCAAGACTTTCAAGTAATTCGCACAATTCTTTAATAAATTTTTGTGCAACATCATTTCTCTTATTACATTCAGACGTCCTTTTTGAATCACCCCCGGTAAAAAAACGTGATAAATTTAAAAACACAAAATCGTTCGTTTTAATTGAGTCCAAAGATTCTTGCGAAGCACTACTCGATTCCGAAACTTTAAAGCTATCATCATTAATACTGAAGCTATTATCACAGGCTGAAGAGAGCGCTTGCCACGCGTGTGAAGATAATTGTGGTCCTGATAGGAAAGATGTTAACCAACTGCATGTAGAAGCTGTTACATCCAGCATTATCGATAGGAAATGGGTGTGGCGGATGTAAGCGATTTCTGCGCTATGCCTTAAACGCCAAACCATCGCTTCGATTAGAACGGAGTGTTCTAAAAGGTATTTTTCTAAATTACTGTAAAAAATTTTATTAATAGCAGTTTTTGTTTATTGATATTAATTGTTTAATAAAAAACTTACTCTTGTTGATTTTGTCCATATTGAATAATAATTGCCAAACCTAATTTTTTTGGTCGCGGATATGATTTAGTGCAACAATCTTCAATAGATCCCGAACCAGTTAATGATGTCCCTGAGTATTCTAATGAAGTGCTTGTACTCCTCAACCAACGCCGGTATAAACTTCCACAAGAAAATGAAACTGTATCTACAGAAAAATTAATACGATATTTTTAAAATTCAAAATTAATACACTACTCTCCAAAATTATCGCACCACCTAAATTATGCATTAAGTTTAAAGGTATTTTTTTTTTTGAATCAACGGATGGATTTTGATGATTCTTTCTTCACGATATAGGTTGATTTTTAAGGAAGAAATGTGTTGATGGTTTCTGACAATTGTCAACGTTTTACCCATATACGGGTGTAAAAAGGAATTTATGTTTTTTCTTCTAATTTTGCAACACCTGTGGAATTTATCAGAAAGAACCGCTACATTCCATTTACATTACGTTAGAATGGCAACCCTTCTCTACATTTTCGTTCAAGAATCATCTCGATATCTCTTTTATCAAGGAAGATACACAAGTTTAAATATAACGAATTTTTATTAACATTTTAAACAAGTAGGTGAAAACTAAAAAACACTACATAATCCTTAATCAATTCTCTCAAAATCACCTAATAACGTGTATTTCCGCCTCTCTTACGTATCACTTCTTCACAGCGACGAGGCATACTTAAAATCAAGCGTCGAATTTGATCTTGATCAATTGTATCCCAAACCTCTCTTACCATCCTCTCAACGTCGTCCAAAACGATAGGTGGTGGATGTCGGCCCCTTAACTGACGATCAATATTATCCCATAAATTCATAAATTATTGGATTGAAATCAGGGCTACAGGGTGGCCAGTCCATGGTTTGTATACAAACTTCATCCAAATAGTCACGGACCGTATAGGCAACATGAGGTCTTGCATTATCATGCATTAATAAAAAATTATTTCCTATGTAAGGAGCAAAGAGTACCACGTGTTCCGATAAAATGTCTGTAATATACCTTTCACCTGTTAATGAACCTCTTCGCAAAGAAACACGGTCTGTTCGTGTTGTAAGCGAAATTCCACCCCAAACCATTACAGATCCTCCATTAAATAAAGTTGTCGGTCGTATGTTGCACTGTGCATAGCGTTCATTGGGCCGTCGAATTACTCTTAAACGTCTATCTGAGCTGTATAAACAAAACCTTGATTCATCTGTGAACAGTACTTGTTCCCAGTCATCAGCATTCCAGTCAAGATGTTTTCTGGCAAATTGCAATCTCCTTCTACGATGATTTGCGTTTAAATTTGGTGCTCTGGCAGGAATCCTTGCATGCAAATCACCTTCGGCGAGACGCCTTTGTACAGTGTTAGTACTAATTCGAATATTATGAACATCTGCTACTTGTATCTGTAAGCTTCTCATTGTAACAAAACGTTCCCTTAAAGCACGAAGTCTAATAAAACGATCTTGGCGTAGTGTTGTGACTCTCCTTCTTCCTTGTCCAGGTCGTCTTGTATGATCATTTGTCTCTTGAAATCGTTGAACGGCACGTGATATTGTTGTATGAGAAACTCCTAATCTCAAGCCTATTTCACGATAACTTATTCCTTCATTGGCTAAAGTAACTGCCTCAACACACTCATCGCGGTTTAAATGTCTTGAAATACGGTCCATGTCAAATAAACACTTAATAACCCAAAGCAGCAACTTGCTAAATGCGTAAATAAAATTGACAAGCATTTCTGTCAAACTGTTTGATATTTCATAGCCTGCTTGTTTCATTAGTAAGGACTATATTTCAACAAAATTGTCTGTTGTATCTTCCTTGATAAAAGAGATATCGAGATGATTCTTGAACGAAAATGTAGAGACGGGTTGCTATTCTAACGTAATGTAAATGAAATATAGCGGTTCTTTCAAAATTAGAAGAAAAAACATAAATTTCTTTTTACACCCTGTATATGGGTAAAACGTTGACAATTATCAGAAACCATCAACACATTTCTTCCTTAAAAATCAACCTACACCGTGAAGAAAAAATCATCAAAATCCATCCGTTGATTAAAAAAAAAAATACCTTTAAACTTAATGCATAATTTAGGTGGTGCTATAATTTTGGAGAGTAGTGTATATTTATTCGTAGATTTGTGCTAACAGTTGTAATTTTTCTGCCCCGTGGATTTTATTAAAATATATGATTCTAATAAAACAATAACAAATAGAAATAGGATCTCTCAAGGATTTTTGATAGGAATGATATCAGTGAGTCTTTCTTTAATCGGTTTCTAGATAAATAGATGTAAAAGCACGACTTGAAGGGGGATTCCGGTCTAAGAAAACTTTTGAAATATAAGTACTAGGAGTTATCTAGGACCATAAAGGGGTTCTTCTTCCAGGTCGTACATATCTTGCTGATTCGCCATTTCATCTCTACGTGGCGCCGTTTGCTGTTGACGAGCGCCTTTCTGCTCTCCTAACGCCGATCTCGTTGCGACTGTGCAGTTGCATTTCTAGTTGTTGAACATATTTTACTCCCATCACATCCATAACTACCAAAATTGCTACAAATCCGTTATTAAAGATAATAACATTAAAAAAGTTGCAACTTCAACTGTGATTCTGCAACTAATAAATTGCCTTAACTTTAATGTTCCACGTGTACTGCATAGAGCAGTATAAGTAGTACTACCTCTGTTCCAAAATAAGTGTCCGATTTGTATATTTTATTTGTTCCAAAATAAGTGTGAACTTTTAAAAAAAGTGAAATATAAGTACTGCTAAATTCCTATGTTAAGACATAAAGTTAGTTTCAACTGTTTGGGAATTGTGGAAGAATAGTGGAAGAAGGTGGTGAACGATGATAATTTTGCTAAAAATGCTAAGCGAATTCGACCTATCAAAAATGTTTGCAGTAAAACCAACTCGAACCTCCAAAACAGAAATTCAATTTGCAAAACTATTTGAGTTATGACTTTTAGCTCAAAATGGATTTTATCATGAATAATGTGATGAGAATCGCATTCTAAAGCTTACTTTCTTCTTGCTGGAGCTGAAATCAAAATCAGGGTGTATAAATCGTTCTCTCTAAAAACATTAAGTATTTGCACGGAGACAGTAGAACACGCTTTCAAGAACAAAGTCTCGCCTCATCTCATCCCACCAACGCATCCTCTTAAAGTTTTTCTAATTTTTAACATTCCACACTTTTTAACGTCGCCATTCCTATTCATCTTTTATCTTCATTTTGTTTATCCATCAGATAGCAAAATGCTTTATTCTTATCTGTTTTCCAGTCTACACCTATTATAGCTTCATTGACTTTGTCGCTGATGATGGGGTAACCCGAAACTAGTACGACTTTATATAAATAAATGCAAGTTAGAAGTTTTTACATAGTTTTTAAAGTGGAAGGAGGTGTTTTGTTGGAAGAGGTAAACATAAACCACAAAATAAAAGAGGATATATAAAGAAACTCAAAGCCTACATTCAAAGATTTTCACGTATTAGGACTCACTATACCAGGAAAAGTAATAAAATGTAATCTCTTTATAAAGAACCCTGTGAGAAAGCTGCTTACAAACAAATTCCGCTTATAACACAGATCAATATTTTGTCTAAACTATAACTAAGTACTATTATTTCAAACCGAAAAAAAAATCAATGTTTAATTTGTATATTCTGTAAATTTCCTGATTTACATAAAACGGCAGAAAGAAACAAAATACCAGAACCATGTAACTAAAAAAGAAGACCGAAAGACGGCAAAACTGAGACAAGGAAAGATCTTTAAAACAAAAAGAAGTGTGTGTTTTGCATTTGATCTTATTTGATGTTAGTCCTATATTCTTATTACGGAATATGAATTAGCTCTACTCTACCATACTTTCTGTTATGCGTGGATAACGTTTAGAAAACAGACAGTCTAAAAATTGAAACTTCTTGATGCAAGTGTATTAACACGTTCAGTGCGCACAAAGTTGGTAAAAACAGCACTGGAACATCTCACATGACGCACCAGTGCGTATTTTTTTATACTTACAGTGATCAAAATAGAAACCAAAATATAAGTGCTTTGTTACTTTACTTTAATGCAGAAAAATCCCAATATTAGCAAAAGTTTCTTGAAGCCGGTCATAGCTACATAGCAGTAGACAGCATGGCCAGAACATGAAAATCTAATAAAAAGCCGTATATTGTAATAGAACTCAAATTTTCCGATTTCCTTGATCTAGAGCATCTTTTAAAATCATTGTCAAAAAATAAGCTAAAAGATGCTTAGATGAGAGAATAAACTGGTTAACGGAAATTAAAAACTCATTATAAATAAATCACACTGCTGAATACAAAGAAATCGTAATTGATTAAAACAAATTACTCAAAATTCTATTTTGGGAGTTATCAGCTTTTGCCAGTAACTCGACGATATCAGCTTACTCATAATCGTTATTGTTCTGTAGCAATTTGTTTTTACGAACACCTTTCTGAAACAATTACCTATTGTTTCTTGTTTACGTCCAAGATCCATGGTTCATTTAAATATTTTATCGTATCAAGTAACGATATTCTAAAACAATTCATTTTCTGTAATGATTCAGATTTGTTATAATGCTATGGTTGTAAAAGTAAACTTTGATTAAAGTTTAACATTCATGTTATTTGCAGCCATTATCACTTCACATACAAATTATACCGGGTGTTTAAAAATTGTGTTCGGATATTTTGCCTACTTATAGTTTTCATCAAGATAAACAAAAAAGTCTTATTAAACCTAGGTCCTAAAAGCAGTGGTTTTGAAGATATAAACAATTCCAATGTTATTAGTAAATGAAGCGTCTTTGTCTTCAAATGTTTATTTAATTGGGGGAAAATACAAACATAGCATAAAAACGGAACACAAAATGCTTAAAGCAAATGGTCCACAAAAGAATCGCGTACTCTTTCGAAGACACCTGGAGATTGACGAATAGTCTCACATGCGTTTTGTATTCTTTGCTGAATACCCTCCAAGTTCCTTACAGGTGCTGAATACACTAATGATTTTCAGTAACCCCATGCAAAAAAGTCTAGAGGAATTAAATCAGGTGCTCTAGGTGACCAAACTATTGAACCTCCTCTTTGTATCCATCTACCATAAAATTCAGTATTAAGAAAATTACTAAC